TGAAACCGAAGGATGATGACAACCGTTGACGGTGGTAGATGCTGCTGTTCGAACGCTGATGAAACTTTGATGATTCTTGATGATGCTTGGAGTATAGGAGAGCACGCCCCATCAACATCAATGACTATGCACCACGTCATACTCTACTTCGCGTGAAGAATAGTGTCTACAATTATCCCGCCAAATCCCAACCCTCCTTCCTTACTAAGCGAGATATACAACACTATCCACTTCATGAAGACCCACTCCAATGATGAAGCAGCTCTCCCCCTCCTCTAGCACGCCAGCCTGTGACGTGGCTGAGTACGGCACGAAGCAAAATACCTCTCCCTTTGTAGTCATGGAATCCCCATTCGCCAGCCACCGAGCAACGTGTCAGCACTTGCACCCGCATGCCAACGTGTCAGCGCGCCCGTGCTCACACCTGCGCGCTGACGTATCAGCTCGCCTGCTAGTGTCCCGTCACCCAGCCGCCTGCGCCCACACACGCCGCCCGTACTGGCGCCTTCCTCGGGCGTACACGCTCGGCCAGCACCCTGTACGCGCTCGGCCAACGCTCACGCCCATGCGCCCTCCTGGCTCCTCGCACGTGAGACCAATAATGGAATTAAGGGAGAGGGTCTGCCATAGTCTCCACACCGACTTATATCTTAGAGCAGCAAAAACTACGTTGTTAATCACCAGGGCCCACCCGAACAGTGATGTGTGCTTGTCATCCCATCCTTGCAGCTTGCAAAAAATTCATTCTCATTTCACAAATGTGGTGAATAGTGGAGCGTGGCCAATTGTCCCATCGGATCTTCCCATTCCGCATTTCCTTCACGTTCGAATCGCAGCCTACTATGTACTTCTATTCTAACAGGCCGTGGGAGATGGAGTGAGATCATGAAGGCAACCCCTGATGAAGGAGCACTTCTGATTTGTCGGGCATGAATCAATGCGGCACACAGGCAGGAAAAAAAAAGCAGTGATGACAGAGCACTGCTGATTTGTCGGCAACGAATCGATGTGGCAATGAGGTGGGAAAAAAAAAGCAGTGAAAAAAATCGCACTGCCAGAAGGATTCCAACTGACCCCAACAAAAAGAGAGTGCCTGAACGAACCGAGGCCGCCCCAGCAACAAAACTGCCAGCCGCTGTGCAAGCCGATAAAACGACACGATGCGGGATTTCCTTGGGCCCGGCCCCTGCCCCACCCGTTTTCCAACACTGGTAGCTTGGCATCACAGGAGTGTTACGCGAGACCTGACTTATCTCCTCTCTATACTTATAAAAGATGGAGCGGGCCCGTCGTGACGCCACCGGTCGGGCCCAAGGGAAACGGTGGGAGCGGGTAGAGCGGTTTTGCAAGGCGGGCGCGGACATAATTTTCCGCAGTCCCAAGGGCCCAAGAGGACGTTTCGCGTCGGGGGAGGCGGGCGGGTTTCGAGATTTGACGAGGCCGCGACGTTTTTGCGGCGCGTGCTATCGGATCGTTCATTGGGAGAGATCTGTGTGAGATGTGGGAGGGGGCGCTGCGCGAGGGGAAATAGATGTTTGTAGACCGGTTGACGGGATTTATCGTCCGCGGGGAGTCGGGGTTACGTCGCGCGACGTTGCTTTCAGGAGCAGTGCGACACCGTTTTCTGTGCACTGCGCGGAGGCTGTGGCGGTATTGGCGTGGATCCGCGCGCGGAGGCCGCTGCAAGGGGGGAGTGGGATGTGTCGATGTGCGGGGTGTGTGCAGCGAGGCTATTTAAGTCGGGGAGCGTGCACGATCTTTGGAGAGAGAGAGAGAGAGAGAGAGAGAGAGAGAGAGAGAGAGAGAGAGAGAGAGAGAGAGAGAGAGAAAGCGCACGAGGGAGCGAGCGAACGTGCGCGATCTGTGGAGAGAGAGAGAGAGAGAGAGAGAGAGAGAGAGAGAGAGAGAGAGAGAGAGAGAGAGAGAGAGAGAGAGAGAGAGAGAGAGAGAG